TTATTCCAAGAATAAGCAATGACTTTGAAAATTCTTATAGCATTAGTAAATCCTGTTTTTGTATTTGTGCTTTGTGCTCTTGTATTTGTGCTTTGATATGGTTGAATATATGTATATAAATACATATTTATGTATTTATTGGAATGCATAGCTGATATATTAATAATATATTTTTATTTATTTGAAACAATGCAGATTACATTATAGAGAGAGTCTCCTTAAACAATTTCTAATACATTTAAGCAAATACAAAAATCAGTTGTATATTAGTGTGGAGACAGTTCCTGAATCTAAAGTCCAGCCATCAGGGTTCTGAGCTGTAACCTTAGTTAGGTTCTAGTTCTCTATTTCAGTATTGACATCAAAAGCAATTGTCCTGAATATTTCCAGGTTTTTTGAGTTAATGGCTATAGTGGAATTTTCAGCGTAATTCCAATAATAAATATTTTGCCTTTTAGTTAGAAAGAAAGAGAAATTATGCACCAGTCAGTGCCCTAAAAAGTTCATCACTTTATAAAGTGACTACAGATTTGTTCTGTGTCAAAGTTCTTCTGTGTTAGTACCAACTTTCATTCTAGGAAGGAATTTAGGTGTTTTCAGAAGAGGTGTAATCATTTGAATCTGAACTTGACCCTTGTGGTGAGCTTGATTTTTCTCCTTAATATACCACTTTCAGGAAAGCAATTTTTCTTTCCTGGCTTTGCAGCTCCTTGCACATAGCAGGTACTCAATAAATATTTATTGAATGGAATTGAATTTGACCTGCATAGCAGTCATAGTCCTGATGTAGGGTCATTCATTTTTGGCAGAAGCTGTGGTAAATCACAGGGTTTAATAGTAATCCAACTGATGAACTGCATACTCAGTGGCATGCAACTGTATGCTGCATCCTCCCAAGTGCAAATTTAGGAAACAGTTTAGCCTAGAGGCCTTGATGAACTGACTCTGGCCTGTTTTAGATCTCGTACTACTCATGCACAGCCTTCCTTCCTATGCACCGAACTTTTAGAATAACTGCAGTTAGTCCTCTCTTAACATGCTTGCTCTCTGGTGCCTCTTAAGCCTTTGCACACTCTTTGGCTAGAATACTCCTTTTGGCAAATTTAAGTATGTATTTCCTGACACTCTTATGTGGAAATGAGTGAGCTGCTGCTTTTCTCCTGTAGCAGTTTGTACTTGCCTCCATCATAGCGCTAAATTCTCCTGTAGTTCTTTCCTGAGCCACCAGCCCTTCCCACTGGACAGCTGCTTGAGGGCAGGTGTGGGATTTATTCCTTTCTGTGTTCCCTAGAGCCGGAAACAACACCTGCCACATAAATGTCTGTTGAATTAACAAATGGGTCCTGAAGTTTGTGTAAATTTGCAAATGGAGTAAATAAAAATGTAAATGAGTTTAGCAGGGATCATTAATTATATGCCTAATTTTAATTAAATTGTGATGTAGTTAGAAAGATCAGCCTGAGATTCGGAAGATGCAAGCTCTTATTGGATTGATGATATTTTAATGGTCCCTTAATCTTTGTAGTTCTTACTATTTTTTTTAAATCTAGAATTGAATGGATTGGGTGGAATCTTTACTAAGATCCCTTAGAGCAAGAATCACACTGCTCTTCAGTTACAGAGAAATAAGTCTCTTCTGCCAGACTCTTTGACTCGAGAAGTATGCTTTAGTCATCTGTAATTTCCTAGCATTAAGCTCAGTACTTGGTATCTAGTAGGTCCAACATTTTTCACCTGACCAAAGCAATAAATTCCCACATGGAATTACAGTTTTAAATAAAGCAAATGTGAAAAAGTTCAGATAAAGAATAGTGAATTAAATATTTATAAAATGTAAAAGTATCTGTCAAAGAATATCTGTGTGGAATGTCTGAAAAAAAAAAAAAAACCTGACAGAAATTTTGTATTTACCAGTTAACAAGTTCTCTAGTAGACGAAATGAATTTGAAGCTGTCTGGTCCCCAAACTACAAGAAAATAATGTATCAGTCTGCGACATGTTATACCAAGTTTTATGCTGCTGAGATTAAACTGTGCCTGCTGTAGAATGTTGGTCGCAATATTCTTGGCATTTATGTATGCTTGTGATGGTATTTTTGGTTTAAATAATTTAAAAACCATATTCTGTTTCCACCAGGGTTGGTTAAATAATTGACATATTTGGGACTTAATCTTTAGGGCAGAATGAACTCTGATTGTTCTACTGTATCGCATATTAAAAAGGGGGTAACAAAGCTCTGTCAGCCCCTTTCACTATACTTTTGTAAAGATTTGCTATTATTTAGTAAATGGGATGCCATCCTACCTTTTCAAGGACTTTCTTGGCGATAAAAAGAATATTATTACATTTTAAGTAAGCCTATATCTTTGGGTTATTAATTTGAATACTTGATATTTTGGAGTTCAGTTGTAAAAATAAAGGAAATAATGCAATCAAACTTTGTGTAAAAAATATAGCAATCAATCAATCCATTAATTTATTGGTTATACAACAATTCTGCTGTAAGGCATAGTTTACAAAGAGGAAGAATATATAATAATGCCCTGAGTTAATATGAAAAACTTTCTCTTAGAGGCTGATGCTTGGAAATTTGAGCCATATTCCCCTCCCCCCAGACTATCTCCCTCAAAAAAAAAACCCAACGATTTATTTAAGAAAGTAAGTATGATAGGGAATATGAGTACTTTTTTTTTTTGAGACGGAATTTCGCTCTTGTTACCCAGGCTGGAGTGCAATGGCGCGATCTCGGCTCACCGCAACCTCTGCCTCCTGGGTTCAGGCAATTCTCCTGCCTCAGCCTCCCGAGTAGCTGGGATTACAGGCATGCGCCACCGTGCCCAGCTATTTTTTTGTATTTTTAGTAGAGACGGGTTTCACCATGTTGACCACGATGGTCTCGGTCTCTTGACCTTGTGATCCACCCGCCTCTGCCTCCCAAAGTGCTGGGATTACAGGTGTGAGCTACCGCGCCCGGCCCGAGTACATTTTTAATTTGTTGGTTCCTTGATTCATTGTGTTTTTTATGCTTGAAATTATTATAGCTCAATTGTTTATTTGTCCCAGGGACTTTTATAGGTTTCCAGGGCAAATTGATGTTTTATGCTACCTGAAACTTACGTAATTTGAAGAAATCTTTCTCAATACAGAGAATATAAAAGTACAAACATCAAATTTTGTATGAAAGTGAATTTTCTTTAGAATAAAAAAAATCCACACAACACTATAGTTTTTTAAAAGCTAGTATATCTACAAATGATTAGAGAAAAAATCTAGACTAGTTTTTGACTCTGTACATTTTATACCTTGATTATCTTCCATTACCATGTATACTTCCAGTTTTGGGTGCCATGAGACACATTCAGATTGCCAGATTCAAATTGGATTTCACTGTTCCCATGGTAGGATGGTCAGCATTGTGGGCACTTAAAGTATTTCTGAAACTATCATTTATAAATACATTATTACAGATTTAAAAAATATTGTGTTTGTTTAAGGTGTATAACATGATGCTTTGATATATACACCTAGTGAAATGGTTACTACATCAAATAAATGAACACATCCTTCACCTTCCCTAATTACCTTTTTGAGATAAGACCACTTAAACTCTGTTCTCTTAGCAAATTTTCAGAATACAGTGTTCTTAGCTATAGGTCTCATGCTATACATTAGATCACCAGTCTGAATCATCCTACATAATTGCAAATTCGTACCCTGTGACCTACTTCTTTCCATTTCTTCCCTTCCCCATCCCTGGGGCCCACCCACTCTTCTACTCTATGATTTTATTGGTTTAATTCCTTCTTTTAAGATTCTGCATATAAAAGTGAGATCATATATCAATAGTGTATTCCTTTTGGTGCCTGACTTATTTCACTTTCATTGGGACTGCTGACAGTAATTAAACCACTTTAATTATATACCTATATAATTATGCCACACATATACCTTCCACTAAACCCAAAGTAAATGGATCTCCAACTCAAATTTCCATTAGCCAGATTCCAGAAATACTCTCAGCCACTTCAGTGCCACCCAGCAGGAGGCTTTAGCCAGTTATGTTTAAGATATTGTACTCTTCACAATTTTATGGAAAAAAAAAAAATGACAAGGGCCATGTATCTTTATTTGAACATTTAACCTTTTGTAAGACTGCTGTCCTATTACACTACATAATGCTCTTGTGCAATTCTCAATGATTTCATTTGAAAGTTATTTATGGGAAGAGTTTATAGTGCCCTCTCTGGAGGGATAAGAATGTGGTGGACTAATTTACTCTGGGCTAAATCATATGAACATGTAGAAGTGAATACATTAGTCGGATTCTACCTTCTCTGGCTGGCAGAAGGTACTTTCAGTTCTGCAGGCAGCCCTTGAACGCCCCAGTGGTTGGGCACACCTGTGATGGGATGACTGAACCGTTATATGCCATATGTTTATAGGCGTGGTGGAGGTGGAAAAGACTAGTTCTGACCTGACACACATTTACTACTTAATAACTCAATTATTCAAATAGCACCTCTTTGTCTTATTCTCCTCGGGGTTCAGGAACAGTACACCAAAACATTAATTAACAATCTATGAGACAGCAGCAGCTGGAAGCTCAAGGTAGTAAAATAACATATACATGTGAGACCATTTTTTGTCAACAGAAAAGGCCCATTTCCTCATTTTTATTTAAAAAAAACTATCAGTGATATACAGTGATTAGCATACTGGAGTTCTGTTAAGCTATGTGCAATGAAGTATCTTATAATTAAAACTTCAGAGGTTCAGAGTAAGGGTATGATACAGAAAAGATTGAATGGTAGGAGAACAGAGTAGGATTTATTTATGTTATGATGAACATGAATATTTGTCAGTTATTAATAAATTGGAGATAGTTAAGATCATAATTTATATTATATAAAATGAAAAAAAAAGGACATGGTTCTATAACTTTTTCATTTTTCTGTGAAACAAAATATTATGATTTATTTTATTTTTATCTTTGTTTTTAGGTAAGACTGTGCCAAAATCCCAAACTTCAGTTGAAAAATAGCCCACCATATACTTGATATTTTGCCTGATACATATCAGCATTTACGACTTATACTGAGTAAATATGATGACAACCAGAAACTTGCCCAACTCAGTGAGAATGAGTACTTTAAAATCTACATTGATAGCCTTATGAAAAAGTCAAAACGGGCAATCAGACTCTTTAAAGAAGGCAAGGAGAGAATGTATGAAGAACAGTCACAGGACAGGTAAGAGGAATATTTCAGATGTTTCGGTGTAACGGTCATTCATGTTGTTTTTTTACTTAGTAGTTAACCTAAATGTCACCATGTAATTGTGTTGTGGTAAATGTCAGTCACTTTGTATATGGTCACGTGGTGCTTACCGATGGGGATGCTTTACGAGAAATAAACATTTAGGCCATTTCATTGTTGTGTGGACATCATAGAGTGTACTTACACAGGGCTCGATGGTATTACCTACCACACACCTAGGCTGTTGATACAGCCTGTTGCTCCTAGGCTACAAATCTATACAGCATGTTACTGTGCTGAATACTGTGGGTAATTGTAACACAGTGGTAAGTATTTGTGTATCTAAATATACCTAAACATAGAAAAGGGACGGTAAAAATACTGTATAAAAGGCCGAGTACGGTGGCTCCCACCTCGTAATCTCTGCAGTTTGGGAGGCTGAGGCAGCCAGATCACTTGAAGTTGGGAGTTCAAGACCAGCCTGACCAACATGGAGAAACCCTGTCTCTACTAAAAATACAAACATTTTCCGGGTATGGTGGCGTGTATTTGTAATCCCAGCTACTTGGGAGGCTGAGGCAGGAGAATCGCTTGAACCCAGGAGGTGGAGGTTGAAGGGAGCCGAGATCACGCCATTGCACTCCAGCCTGGGCAACATGAGCGAAACTTTGTCTCAATAAAAACAACTATCATATAAAAGATAGAAATGGATAATCTGTATACCATGCATGGAACTTGCAGGACTGGAAGTTGCTCTGAAAGAGTCGGTGAGTGAGCAGGGAATGAATGTGAAGGCCTCAGACTATTACTGCACACGGCTGCAGACTTTTGAAACATTGCACACTTAGGCTATGCTAAATATTAAAAAAAATTCTTTCTCCAATAATGAACAGCTGTCACTTTTAAGCTTTATAAACTTGTAAATCTTTTTTCACATTTTGACTCTTGTATTAACAATTAGCTTAATAAAAATATTTTCTTTCAATATTATTCTATAAGCTTTAAAAATATTTTTAAAATGAAGTCTTTTTTTTTAAATTTTATAAACCTTTTTGTTAAAAACTAAGACATGAGCGCACAGATTAGCCTAGGCGTGGACACGGTCAGGATCGTCAATGTCACTGTCTTCCACCTTCACATCTCATCCCACTGGAAGGTCTCCAGGAGCAATAACATGCATGGAGCTCTCATTTATGATATCTCTCTCATTTATGGAATATCTCCTGAAGGCCTGCCTCAGGCCATTTTACTGTTACCTTTTTTTTTTTAGTAAGTAGAAGGAATACCCTGTAAAATAATGTTAAAAAGTATATAGTGTAGTAAATACATCAATCAGTAATACAGTCACTTATTTTAATATTATCAGCTGTTACATATTATGCATAATTATATGTGCAGTGCTTTTATGTGACTGGCAGCACAGTAGATACGTTTACCCCAGCATCACCACAAACATGTGATACGTTGCACAATGAACTTGTGATGACTGTGACATCACTAGGTGATAGGAATTTTTCAGTTCCATTATAATCTTATGAAACCACTAACGTAAATGCGGTTTGTCATTAACTGAAACGTCCTTGACCAAAATGTCATTACAGGGTTCATGACTATATTTGCTTTTAACATTAATAGCTTTACATACATTTACTTATGATAGTAGCTAGTTCATGAGACAGTCTTCTCAATGTTTTAATAGACTTTGTTTTTAAAGCCGTTTTAGGTTTGCAGGAAAATTATTCAGAAATTGCAGTTCCCATAAATCTCTTCTGCACAAGCAATTTCTCCTATTCACATCTTGTATTGGTGTGATATGTTATAGTTGATAAACTATTGTTGATGTATTATTATTATCTAAAGCCTAGAGTTTACAGTAACATTCCACTTCCTATGCTCCATAAATGCATAATGCCCTGTATCTACCATTACAGTGTTATACAGAATAGTTTCACTGCCCTAAAAAAGCCCTGTGATCCACTTATTAATTGTCTCACTTCCGCTCCTGAACCTACGGCAACCACTGACCTTTTTACTGGCTGTGCAGTTTTGCCTTCTCCACAGTGTTACCAGTAGGACTCAAAAAATATGTAACCTTTCACATTGACTTCTTTTACCTAACAATATGCATTTTCGGTTCCTCCGCGTCTTTTCATAACTTGGCAGCTCCTTTCTTTATGCCACTCTATTGTGTGGTTGTACCACAGTTCGGTTGTCCACTCCCACACTGAAGAACATCTTGGTTGCTTCCATTTTTTGGGTAATAACGTATACAGTTGCAGTAAATATTTGTACACAGGTATTCATGTGAATTTAGGCTTTCAACTCATTTGGGTAAAATACCTGGCAAGGTTGCTGGATTTTCAGGATATGTGTAAGTTTAGAAAGAACATAAGAAACTTTGTAAGAAACTCCTCGACTGGTTCCAAAGTGGCTCTGCCATTTTTCATTCCCACCAGCAATGAATGACGGTTCTCAGTGTTCTGTATCCACACCAGAATTTGGTGTTGGAGACAAGTGTCTTAAAGACATGGTTTGATTGAATCTGCCGATGTGGTAGATGTGGGTGGGAGAGGTAACTTCAATCTGTATATTTGGACTTAAGTGAGAAACTGAACTGGGCTGGCAAAGATTGAATTGACATCAACCAAATTCTAATTTTATAGCCAGGATTTCTCACTTAGAGATCCTCATTCAAGTTTGTTGTTTGGCCATTTCAATGTTAAATTCCATGATCTATCTTAAAATAAAGCAAATGATAAGAGTTTTCCATTTCTGGGCTTTTAAAAATATATATGGAATATTCACAGTAGTGATAGTTTAGATTTTCAAATTGGAGAACCAATATTAATGAAAAATATATTATGTTTTAACATATTTTAAATTAAATTTTCACGTAAGACACTTAACCTCTCTGTATTTTAGTTTTCTGACATTGGAAAACCTTTAAAAAACCTCCAATATTCTTTTTTTTTTGCTTGAAAACTTTATTAAAATAAGGGATTAAACCTGAAAATAGAACAATCAGAGAGCCAGTCCTTTGCATAAAATCAGCAAGAAAAAGGAAAGAGAGAGAGAGAAAGAGAGAGGGAAGGAAGGAAGGAAGAAAGGAAGAAAAGGAGGAAGGAAGTAGAGAGGGAGGAAGCAAAGGAAGGGAAGGAAGGGAGGGAAAAAAGGAAAGAAGGGAGGGAGGGGAAGGAGGGAAGAGAAAGGGAAGGGAGGGAGGGAGGGAGGAAGGAAGGAAGGAAGGAAACCTTCGATATTTCTTTCAGGTCAGAAAAACTAGCCTCATTCAGTCTAATAATAGCATAGGGTTGTAAAATAGAAAATTCGCTTATCAAAGTATGTGGATTTAAATTTTTTATGAATACTAGCCCAATACCCATAACAAGTAAAACCATCAAATTCAAACATAGAAAAACCCTTTTCCAGATGTAAAATGGCCTAAATAATTATGTATTTATAATTTTCTCTCTAAATTAGAGATGAACCCAAACCAACTCATAGAAGTCTAACCAATTATGTAACTTCAGGCTTATCACCTAATATTCTTGGGTCACAGTTTATCATCTTGAGGGTGGCAAAACTTCCAGTTGCCTTTTAATATTAATTAGTGCTCTGCGATTCTCCAGGAGTGACAAGGAGAATTTGAGTTGCCACGGTGCAACAGAAGTAAGGTAGAGAAATATTATAACGATTCTTTATTCTTGTAGTCTTTTCAAGAACTGGTAACATCTTGGGAAGCAAAATATCTATGTTAAAATTTTATTTTTCCCATTGAACTAATAAAACTGAGTTCTTAACAAATGCCTTTATAATTCTCAGTCAAATTTAGGAGTCAGTAGTGGTTTCTTCTTGATTCAGCCAAGTCGTCCATTAAATTTCACTCTTTAGGGAATCAGGACATTTGACAAGGTATATAACTTCTTTCACTATGAATTTGAGTGGATATAGTGTTTTAATTGGATGAAATAATACATGATGTGGTAAACTTGCATCCCACTTTTACATCTTCTGTGGAAACCTGAAACATTTTCTAACTCAGTAGATGTTTTGTAATTTCCAGTTGATCATTTTGATAGTTTTGCTTATGTGGAAGCATTTCATGGGAGACTTTTAAGTTTTGATTGATAATGTATAAATTTCATTAGATTATGATAGCTGTCATAATGCTGACTATTCACGATGAGGTCACTCATTCTTTGTATTCTTGTCTGCATTTTAAGTGTCCAAGTGAATTTTGTTCACTGTCCTAAACGTTACCCTGAGACAAAATTTATTAGTTTCTATGCTGATCTAGCATATCCTTAATTGGATATTACTGTCATCCTTGTTCTATTTGCTGACAGTGTTTTGCGGCCAGCTGTGTTTATGCAGAATTTACATTTGATAAATGTTTCATAATAATGTGCCATTCTTGGTACACTGTAACAGGCACATAAACTTTTGATTTGTGTTTCTTTTTCTAGTAATGTATTTGGCCACATTCACTTCTAGGTTCCCTTACGATTCCAAAGGCAAACAGAATCTAAAGTGTAGCATTGCACACAGAGCTCTGGGGCATTTTGCTCTACAGAACGTGGAAGAGTCTTCCTTAGCATGTTTTCATTTACAGAGTGGCCTCCTTGTGAATAGTCAGCAATATGAGATCTATCATAATCTATGAAAATCTATATATTACCTGTCAAAACTTAAAAGCCTGTCATGAAATGTTTCTATATAAGCAAAACTATCAAAAGTAGTTAGGCCGCAAAGTATATGGATTAGTAGACTGACTCCACCTAATATGTATGACAACACTGGTTACTGGGAATATTATAAATTCACTGAAGAATATTTTCTTTGATTCTGTAAGTAACTCACTAGGGACATTACTATAATTGAGCTAAAAATGAAGGATGGTAATAGTAGAAACAGTAATTTGGTGTCAGTTGACTTAATCAGTATTATCTCATGTGATCCTGCCCACTTTATTGAAGAAATTGTCTAAGGATGAG